CACCAATTGCGGTGCGTTCCAGAGCAGCAAGTAGCATTTGTTAGCGTTCACACTGGACCGGAACACAGGCAATGTTTTTGCCACTGGTCCTATCACACTATGGGCGGGGGGGGGCGTGGCTGCAGTGCCATTGACTTCAAAGCACCGCCATGCCCCCTCTTGCCCCAGAACAAAGGGGGGAGTTAAGTGTGCGATTACTGTGCGTTCCAGCAGCTACCGCTTTGGAACGCACTGCAATTGGTGTGAACTGACCCTCAAAGTCATCATGTTTTTAAACAGCTCCAGCTCGCCTCCTCTGAACTTCCAGCCCAGTACAAGATCACACTAGGGGCAGAGCAGTTTCCAACAGCTGCCAATCTGTTACATTGGATAAGGTAGGAGCAAGGAGTGGAGGAGTGGATTGGCTTGCTGTGCCTGTGTGTTTGTGGAGACACACATAGGTTACTAGCGCACAGGGGAAAGGAGCCATCCTAAAACAGGATATCAGGGAACCAGGCAATTCTGCAGGAAAATAAAGCTTTCAAACTTTAAGGAACAGCATCCATTTTAAGTGATTTCATCATCATTTGCAATAACTTTAAAACATTTTACTTAGATCACTTTATATACTTGCATACAAAAAATAAGTGTAAATAAATGTACTTTCTGATACCCTGCACTGTACTAGGTACAATGTGAGATTATGTGGTTAACTTTTACTGGAATATTCCTTTCCAGTGCTTCTGAAATGTGTCAGGACCAACTATGTTTTTTTTAATTCATTACCAGTGATAAATTAGCACTGTGAGATTGTATTCATGGGCGCCAGTGATGTCATCAATCAATAGAAGAAAGGATCAGCAGAGAGAACCTTCATAAATCAACACACTTTCACACACAATGCTAACTTTCCAGAGCAGCTCGGTGACGAAAGCAACATATGACAAAGGACTGCTCAGGGACATGTTATGCTGCAGACTCATTAGGCAGTCTCTTTCTGTAAGTGAGCAGTCTCTCTCCATACCTGAGCACTATCTTTCTCTCTCTCTGTAACTGGGCAGCCCCTCTGTAACTGGGCAGTCTTTCTCTGCGTAACTGGGCAGTCTTTCTCTGTGTAACTGGGCAGTCTCTCTCTGCGTAACTGGGCAGTCTCTCTCTGTGTAACTGGGCAATCTCTCTCTCTCTCTCTCCCTCTGTAACTGGGCAGTCTTTCTCTGTGTAACTGGGCAGTCTTTCTCTGTGTAACTGGGCAGTCTTTCTCTGTGTAACTGGGCAGTCTTTCTCTGTGTAACTGGGCAGTCTTTCTCTGTGTAACTGGGCAGTCTTTCTCTGTGTAACTGGGCAGTCTTTCTCTGTGTAACTGGGCAGTCTTTCTCTGTGTAACTGGGCAGTCTTTCTCTGTGTAACTGGGCAGTCTTTCTCTGTGTAACTGGGCAGTCTTTCTCTGTGTAACTGGGCAGTCTTTCTCTGTGTAACTGGGCAGTCTTTCTCTGTGTAACTGGGCAGTCTTTCTCTGTGTAACTGGGCAGTCTTTCTCGGTGTAACTGGGCAGTCTCTCTCTGTAGTTGGACAGACTCTCTGTATTTGAGGTAAGTATTTTCAGTAAAATTGGGTACAAACTCGATGGGTTATGTTGGTGGCATATTCATGTTGACTGCAGGTCTACAGAACAGGGCCAAGCCACCCATGAGACCAATTGATGTAGGTGCCCCAGGCAGCACTTATGGAGGCAGGATGAGGGATGGAACTGAGGCCACAGTGTCCATAATTCCCTGCAAATAGGGATGGCAGTTAAAGGAAAGGGAGCTCCAATTTCATTTTCACATAACTGGATAATGATGTGTGGCCTGTTTACATACAAATAATACTATGTACATTCTCCTTTGATAGCAGGGTGTGAGAGCAAGGCATGAAGAACCACATAATAGCCAGTTATTTGCCCATGGCGTTGTCAGTCTCACTCTAGAAAATTCTGACCCCAACAGGTGAAGATGGGAAAATAATTTAACCATCTACATCCCAGTGAAGTACAGTTCTATGAGGCGCAGATCAGCTGTGCTGCACAGTTAAAATGGTTGTAGTCATGAAGACTATGTGATGCCAACATGCCAGGTCTGTACAATGGATCATTGGGAAATATCCCTTTGGCTTGTATGACATCTTTTTCAGCTGATACCGCTTTCTAGGACTGGAAGGTGTTACTGGGTGGTCTGGAGCAATGTTGGTAGAGGGTTGTCATGATGGTGAGAGCCGGTGGACCATAACTGCTGCAAAAATTCAGTGGCTGCCAGAACTGAGACAGCCAACCTACTGGGACAAGCTATGTGTGATTCCTCCAGCCTTCAGGGTGTTAAGTGTTCTTGAAGCAACCTGTGTTGCGTCTTAAATAGCTTAGCTTTGTTTTCAAGTGCACAAAGTTCTTTTACCAGGTAAGGGTAAGGTCTGCTGCCCTAGTGCCCTGTTCTATTATACGTTTAAAACTGTCTGATCCAACTGGCAGAACAAGGAGTGACTTTGTTCCTTTGCAGCTTCCGTTAATTGGCGTCAACCTTGTGTGGCTTCCCACAATGCTCAAAGTAATGGAATGCAACAGTTAAGCTTTTGTATCAGAACTATGCCCTAAACTGTAAATCTATCTAGCTGGATTTTGTCACATGTTATATAAATCAAGTGGAAAATCCCAGTTGTAAATTACCTGATAATGGTGAGAAGACAGTTGTGCCCTGGCTGCCTGGAGTGACTGTGTTCTGTTGACGTAGTCTCACCCAGACACCCTCATTATAACTGATCTACTTATTTCAAGCCTTCAGTGCACCAGCATACCAAATGTAGGTATGTGCAGTTTTTCTGACAAAGAAGCACCCCCTATACTGAGTTTTTGCCACTGGAATCAGTCTGTTCCATGTCTCAAAGTACTGTACACAATGTGTTCAATTGGCTCCACTGGGGGACTGACTTCTTCCTCGACCTGCAAATGAAACAAAATAGTTTCACATTGTGGCATTTTTTTAACCGTAAAGTAGTATTAAACACCTTTTTCATCCAGAAATCCAGATTAAACAAATATACATTGCCCAGCAAAGCATTGCTGTATATTTTTGCCCAAACACTTACAGATATCATGCTTCTGAACAGCACGGCTTCCCTGAACTTCCTGTCCAGTGCAAGATCACAAGGGACAGCACAGTCTCCACCTACTATCAATAGCTTGCAGAAGGGAGGAAGCAGGGGAGTGTCTTGCTGTGCCTGTGTGTTTGTGGAGACACACACAGCTTACTAGCACACAGAAGGTTGCCTCCAGAAGACACTGCAAGGGAAAGGATCCACAATAAAACAGGATATTAGTTCAGGGGACCAGCTGATTCTGCAGGAAGCTCAATTGAAATAGCTTAAAAACCTTTTGACTTTACCAAGAGAAGTAAAAGGCTGAAGACTTTCCCACTGCAGAATGAAATTGTCAGTGGCAGTCTTACGAAACATGGAGTAGAAAGTGTCTTTGTTGCTCATAGCATTTAGTTTCCATGTTGTATTATTATATCCACCATATCACTGACAGTAGGGATTTGGTTGCAATGGGCAATGTTCTTTCCTTTTGTAATGAGCCCCAGCATGAGGTGCATTCAGCTAAAGCTATACACAAGTATTACCTGTTATACCAACAATGAGGAAGACCATGGTGTGTATCCTGCTTAACCACTTGCCGTCCGGCAATCATGCTATCTTCTCCACCCTCCCTCCCAAAAAAATTATATAAAATTATTTTCAGTACAGTGTTGCATGACTGAATAAATGTTGGTCAAAGTACAGCGGTGCTGAATACTGACAAATGGCCTGAACAGGAAGGAGGTTTAACACCCTGGTCCTCAAGTGGTTAAAAACAACCAGTCACAATTGGGTTTTTGCAAGAATGTAAATATTACATAATGACATTACTACTTATTATTTATATTTCACCCTTTATCTTTATTTATATAATAATCGTTATGATTATTTGTATCCTCCCTATTTAGTTTGCTTACTTTGTCTCAGAGCTTTTTTAACCTACTTTGTCTCTAAAGGTGCCCATACACTGCACGATTATCGTCCGAGAATCGTGGGAAATCCCGCGATTGTACGATAATCGTGCAGTGTATGGAAGGCGTGCGACCGTTTCTACTGTACAGTCGCACAACTTTTGTATTTTGAGCCTGTTGGAAAACCAGCCGAGAATTGTACGGTTTTTAGCATGATCGAGAGATGATTGCCGAACGGGCCGGTGTGTGCACGCGCACACTGCCCGTTCAGCATTGCAGTCGTCGGAAGCCAGATGATCGCAAGTACGATCTGCCTGTCCAAGATGGGCAGATCGTACGTTTTTAAATTACTTTACAACCCTCGCAAGACAAAAGTCTTGCGAGGGTTGTAAAGTGTATGGCAACCTTTAGAGCTTTGCCTAGGCCTGGGGCGAATTAGCCCTAATGATCTTTTACGATCGATGTCGTAAAGCGCTAATCCCATGGTAATTGTCTTGCACAGTTGTCTGACGAGTGTGGAAATCTCTGTTCAAGGTGAGGCTTGCAGCCCTATTGCCATGTCCTTGTGACAGCTTGGTCAGTTTGGAACTGTGTATAATCATGTGCTATTGACATACAGTGGGTTCGGGCCAGGCGGTTCTGTCACAGGGAGGAGACCAGAAAGTGAAACAGCAGCAGTAAAACATCAGGTCCACTCTCCTGCCAGGCAGGGCTGTAGAAATCCTAGGATTTAATGTACATACATACAAATCTATTGGCAGGAAAAACAGCTTCCACATGTGTTTTTTCCTTTGTGTATTTAGCTGTTTGCTTGGAAGTCAGATTTAACAAGCTAAATTGATACACTAACACTGACGTCTTACAATATAAAATATGTGCAAAGTGTTTAATAAACAATCTCGCAAATAAAATATGTATATGCCCTGAAATTTTTTTGGGGGTATATTGGTTAGTGAGTTATTGTCAAGGAAGCCTGTGACTGCAAGATTTGTTCATGGAAATAATGAGTTAAATCATCTTGCAGAGACCCAGTTTTCTGCCACAGTCGCTCAAGAGTGCAGCTTTGTGTTTTTTGATGACTGGTAACTTCAGTGTTCCACGGTTGTAGCGGACGTGGTCTAAGTCTGCGTGTTGTGAAGGGGGCAAAGGTGTCTAGAGGGGTGGGGGGGGG